TGAATGCAAAGCATCTACTAGACGAGCAGTTAGTGGCTTAAACTACTCTGCTGCTAATGGTAGCGAGGCATTCGACAATATTATTGAATTAATTAATGGTCTTACTCTTGACACAAGTGAACGTCATCGCCTTGTCAATAACATAAAGAAAGGCAAACAATATTTAAAAACGAACTTCAAAGCTAATGTGGCACGTACATCACGTGTTTTTGATCATTGTATATGCTTTTCGCTAAGTGATCCCACATCTAATTCTTTTTCAGCGGCATGTTCTGACCATGAACATGATCAAGTATGTTCTGAGTGCTTGTATCTCGCACAAGCATTACAAGATACCAAGCAAGCAATCGAAAATAGTAAAGACAAGGAAGAAGAAGTTAAACGGAAAATGCACAAGTTTACTCTTGCTTATGATGCTATTCAAGCTTGGAAATCCCATCAATTAAGATCAATTAATCAAGACCTTGGAAGAGAGAGTGTTTTAGATGTTTTAGGTGAAGATGCAATTTATTTGAATTTAGATTTTGCCATGAAGTAAGTATAGCTAAATATTTTTAACCTTTTCTCTGCTACGTAGCTTGTAAAAATTTTTGCTGTTGGGAAAACTTAGTCCAGAGATGTCAAATATAAAAATTTATGATATTGAATAGTATCTACTACGATTTATATTTTTATACCGTAAAATAAGAATATATGATGGAATATAAATTGAAGGCGAATTTTGTATTGAAACTCAGCGTTGCATCGAGTAAAAAAAAAAGAAAAAAAACTAGAATGTTCTGAATTACAACAAAACGGATAATTGTAAAACATTTCTGTCAAAGTTTTAAAGAAAATTCAGTAATAAGGTTGCTTTTTCTTTACTGTAGATGGCTTCCTGTTAAGTATAGGGAAGATGAAACAAATTTTTTTGGCAAGCGAGAAATAACGTGGCACATTACTGTCGTTTCACGTAAGAAAAAACAAGATTTGAACAATAGTCCTCGGATTCATTGTGATCAAGAACAAGATGAATTTATGGTTGGGAATCGAAAACAAACTCTTCTTGAAGAAGATGATGAAGAAGAGAGTGAAAGCGGATGTAATTCTGAAAAAGGTAAATAAATAATACATCTGAATTTTTTTTTCATTTCCTAGTAATATGTATGTTTCTTATACTTCCAGCTCAATGTGCTCTAAAAAGTTATTTATTTTATTTATTCATACGTTTTAAGATCATGCTTTGCGTTTTACAAATTTCTTTTTGCCAAAATAATTCTTACTGTTGACTGTTTTTGAAATGACTGTAATATGCGATCATTCTATAAAAGTATTTCGTACTACACATTCAACTTTCTTCTATTAGTAAAGCAATCATGAGATCGAAAGCTCATGGTCTAAATATGCGGAACACTCTTGCATTAAAAAGAAGTATTAGAAAGACTTCGAGCATCATTAAGATAATTTCGAAACTCTTATTCTAATTAATCTGTTATAAACATTTTGAGATGATCCTCATGCTATGGTGGAACTCTTAGCTATTTCAACGATAAATACTCTCTTTGATGTTATGCCTGTGCAAATTGTGAGTCTTCAATAAAACCCTCGATAATGAAACAGAGTAAATTATTTGGATATCAGCCATTAGTATAGAAACGTAGAGTATGGTCAGTCTTTCGTAGACATTAATAATATATGTAAATCTCGTAAAATACATTTATTTTTGTTATTTTAACTCCAGATTCGAACGATTTCGAACATACAGTCTTTGTCCATGTGATCGATCAATGCTCACAAGATAGTAAACTTGTCGTCGCAATTATTACTGATATATTGTCAAGATTAAAAGTACATGATAGTTCAATTGGGCAAACTTGCATACGCTGTGATAATGCTGGCTGCTATCATAGTGCTTATACAGTGTTATCGATGCCAGCTGCTTCCGAGAAGTGTGGAATAGCAGTACGAAGAATGGATTTCGCTGATCTTCAAGGTAGTAAAGGTAAAATGTGGAAAAATGGAAGCTATTTTATGTAAATGTTTACTGACTCATTTAGGTTCTAGTGATAGATATGCTGCTATTATAAAATCTCATGTTAGACGTTATCTAAATGAGAAACACGATGTTACAAATGCAGAGCAATTTGTCGAAGCTTGTTTATCCTATGGAGGAGTAAAAAATGTCAATGTTGTCGAATGTCAATTCAAAACAGTTCATCAATCCGCAAGATTTCAATTAAACAACATCAAACAGTTTAGAAATTTCTGCTTTGAACGTCATGGCATACGAGTATATCGAGCATGGGATGTTGGGGAAGGCTTTTTGATACCGTACAACAAATTAATCAATGGAGTAAGATATCCAAAAGCATTTAATATTTCACTCAAAAATCAAATAACTCATTTGTTTCAAATATTTTTATTTGCTATAACTTGAGGAAAAAGTCATTTCCGAAACCACTACACAATGTATAAGACTGAAAGGCCTCCATAAGTTTCGAAAACGTTTGAAAAATTTTAAAAATTCTAACTGGGTTACGTAATGTTTTTGAGAATTTCGAAGAAGTTCAAGAATTTTATCGCACTTTAAGAAGCCTCAGAAGACTTTCCATGGCTATGTTAGCTTGTTATCAGCAAACGATGATTAGGACTATAAAACTTTATGGAAAATATAGCTTGCACTTTTATTCTTTCCACTGAACAATATTTTTTAATCTTTTTCAGAAAGTCATTATCGGATCACTCGATCTAATTAAACCATCACCTGAAATAATCTTCGGTTCATCTGTTAATAATAATCTGTCAGGTTCTATAAATGTCAATCTTAGTGGCGAATGTACTGAATCGGTCAATGAAGCTACAAACTTATTTGAATGTCCAGAGGAAACATGTGTATCTTCGTTTGTGAAATACGGAAATTTACTTAGACATCTTGCAGTTGGTAATCACCGTCATATGCTCGAAAAAGTAACTTTATTGGATATGGCAAAAAAGATATATCATTCAAGATTGGCAACTGCTGACAACAAAAGAGTTATTTCGTTATCTTCAAATGATGCTGTGTTCGATTCGGACATTGGTGATCAAGTGTCCGAACTCACTGTCGGATGGGCACTTCCAGTGATACGTCCGCCTGCTAAATTTACTATTAGGCAAAAGAAATTTTTAGATGTGAGTAGTATTTAGAGACAACTCCTCTATACTCTATCTTCGTTTTACGTATTCCTCATTACGTTTCATAGTTTTCTAGTCTTATGTAGGAAAAATTCAACGATGGAATTTTACATGGTCGTTTCTGGAAACCAGAAACCGCTGTCAGTGAAATGCAAAATGCTAAATCACCACAAGGAAAATTTATCTTCGATATCAACGAATGGTTAACAACCAGCCAGGTACGCAGTTACTTCAGTCGTATCGGATCAATCACCACCCCGAAGAACGCTCAGCTATCACCTTCTGTTGTTTCAAACTGTTCAATTTATGACGAAAACCAAGAAGAGGAACGAATTTTGGACGAAGATGCTAATGCTGAAGTTGGAAATGTATTTGATATTTTTTCTATCTACAAGATCTTTTCTTTCTCTAGGAATCTCTCAAGGATGATATTGCAGTGCACGAAGCAATCGAAAGAATAACATTCTTGAAGAAAACAAACGAAATACCAGAAACAGCAAGTAAAGAAAAACGTCCATTATCATTAATACAAAATGAACCAAGTACACCAAAGCGTTCAACTACCTCACACAATCAAAAATATTAAAAGAATGCGGCAGAAATATATTCGAGCTAAAGTTTGTTTATAGGAATATCTCTGAAATCAACTGAGCAACGTGCTAGCACGCTTTAACTTCAACAAACCAAAATTTCTTTTCACATTTCAAATAGTTTTTACTGAAGTCTACAAGAAAACATCATTGAACATAAAATTCATTCTATTCATACATACCGTGAAGTTGTATTCGAGAATAAGAAAAAGCTTGCACTGATAAACTGCA